GCAGGAATGTATCTATGAGTGCACCAAATTTCCTGAAATGCACACTGGAGAAAAATATCCCTCAGTTACATAGGAGGACATTGAAAATTCAGCTACTACTCCAAATTACAAAGCTGATCTTTGTTTGAAGCTAAAACAATAAACCTGACTGTTTATGAAAAAAAATTTCCAGGCCTCCTCAAAACTAAGAAAGATGCCCTTTTCTGAGATGGACTGCTTTTGTTTGTGGATATGATTCAATAAAATGGTGATCTTAAAACAGAAAAATAACAGATTCCCCAGTTCCTACAACTCATGTTAATGAATATAATGAACCTTAAGCATGGTATTTTCTACAGCATTACAGAAGAAAGGTTTTTTGGACAATCTTTAAATCACTGGCAGAACCTCACTGAATACAGCCTAAGATAGGGTTTTTTCCTTCACCAAGCAAATCAACGTTAGGTAAGAAGAGTCCCTAAGGGCTAAAAGTAGCAGCTTACACAGAAAGCACTGACCCAACAGGCTAAGTTCTGAGTTTTGTTTCTCACAAGTACCCCTGCATTTGGAGTATGTAAACATCCTCAGAATACTAATAATAACCTTTTTTTCAATGTTTAATTATGTCCAAAAAGCATTATGGCAGCTACTAAGGGATCTCTTAAGACAGGCACAGCACAGTCCAGATCATCTCTTGCAGCATTCACAATGCTTTACATCTCCAAGAGACTAAACAATCTGCACACACCTGGATGCTACTGCATGAAACTGCTAATCAGAACTACCAACACCAAATATTTATTATATCAACTAGAGTTAAATCCAGATGAATGAGTTACAATATATAAAAAAAAAAACTTCAATGAATTTCAACAAATTGTTTTCACCCATATAACCCACACCTCATATAAATCTGCACATCTTTCAAAATATTGCTGCATTAAAACAGATGAGGCAAAAAATGAACAGCTGTGCAGAAGGAACAAAGGACCAAGAGGGCAACTTAAAAAAAGAGAGGGAAGGAGGAAGGGGGGGAAAAAAAGAAAAGCTCCAGGATTCCTGTAATGTTGATTTTGTATGCATTTCATATCAAAGCTGAATTTTTTTTTTTCTTAAGCAATACTAGGGTTACCCCGATACAAATGCAGCACTCAAAGCATATCCAAGCGTGCTGAAGTTCCCCTGCTTCTATGTGTTTTTCAAAGCACAGCACACACCATAGCGACAGCCACCCTTGGCACTCTGAAGGAAAAACTTCACATAATACGACTCCATTTTCTCCTTACAAAAATATTTCTATCCTGTGCTATTAAACAAACATTGTTCTGTCTCTCCAGCTGGCATAGCAATAACCAACTTAAACACCTATACTCAAATTAACATTTGTCCTTTCCTTCCACCTGCCCAGCTGTGGAAGAAAGTTTCTAACAATCTTAAAGTTTACTGCACTTGGAAAACACTTCCTAGAGACCTGTATTTTTTGTTGCCTTACTCCAAGCTCTGAACAGCTTAAACTCTCAAGATATAACTGACAATGTAACTATTCTCATATGACTTAATAATGTATTTCCATGTCACTGGAAGCTACTTCACACAGAGCAAGATCCTTACAAAGATTCTATCAGGCAGAGAGAACACAAAATTAGAAATAAATATATTGTTGGCACATGAAAGCACACTCTGCAAGTATTCTCTTGGTCTATTCAGCAAAACGAATACTTGAACACTTACAGGTGTTCAGATTTACATTCTTATCACTGCTTTCAAGGCTGGGCTCCTCTCTACCTTAATGCTTTAAGCATAAACTGACAACTGCTAAGATATGCTCTTTCTGCAGTACTGGTGCTGGGTGTCACAGTCTCATCCAATCACTGGTGAGTTCAACACCACAAAAAAAAAACCAAAGAAACCAACTAACATTTACAGGAGAAAGAACTGTGGTAAAGAACTATAACTCCTCTTCATCTGTGTTCTGGTTCCGCGTAAAAAGGGGTTCAGGGCAGGACCCACACGGAACAGAACTGTGTGCTCCCCTTCCCTCCCCCCAGAGAGAGAGAGAGACTTTGAAAAAAAAAAACAACTTGGAATTAAATGAAAAAATAAAGTATATTGTTTAACAAGGAACAGAAAACGAAAAAGGGAGGTAAGAAAAAAATATATACAAAGATTAGGGGAAATACAAAAGTAAAACAAAATATACAAAACCCTCAGAAATAATTCCAGGGTCCCACAGAGCGAAGCACGCACTCGATCCTGGAGCCGCAGGGCAGGAGCGGAGACTATAGCACCCACTTCCTGCCTCTTTCCAGAGTGTGAGTCAGAAGGGGAGGGAATACAATGGTTC